TGGTAGAGCTGGCGATCCATATACAGAGTTGCTGCAGCGGCCTGGGTTCAAATCCGACCTGTGGCCCTTTGCTGCTTATCATGCCCTCTCTCTCCCTTTCCTGTCTATCTTCAGCTGTCACTATCAATAAAGGCAAAAAAGGCCAAAAAAATAAGTTAAAAAAAAGTTACAAACATCTGCTCTTTGGATTTCAAGACAAAATCTGTGTATTTCAGGAAAAACGTGTTGCATGACCACTATGACAACCAATTTCAGATGTACTGGTCAGAATAGCAAGAATTTAGCAAGAAAAATCTGACCTATTACTGGGCTTAATTCTAATAGCTGCAGTTGTGTTATGCCTGTCACACAAGCATCCAGCTTTTTAGCATTTCATTGAACAGGAGCCGGCAGAGTCAGGACTGCCAAAATGGCGACTACACTGAGCCCTTCAAAAACCTATGGGTGGCGTCACCGAGACCATATTTTACACACTCACTCCTTCTACAACTACAAAGTGAACTTTATTTATAAACACTTTACACACACCACAGTTGATCCAAAGTGCTTTACAGGAAGCGGGGGGGAACACAAGAACAAAAGAAGGACATAATTATAACAATAAAACCACAAAGCCCCTCCCAGTGAAAAGGCAAATAAGATTGTAGATGATCATCCTGTTGTCATTTTATAGCGTTTACTTGGGAATCTCAAAATGCCAGTACAAAAAGTACAGAGAGCTGGAAGAGAGTGACAGAAGGAACTCAGAGCTGTTTTAGCACTAGTAGTTAAACTAGTTCAACCCACATGATGATCTGTGATGAGGAAACTCGTACTGCATGATTTTTTGCATGATTACATTTCCTGCTCTGTGGATGTCAAGAGATAATTCATGTGTAAAATGTTTCTAATCAATTAAGGTTTCAGATATACCAGTCACTATGAGTTTACTCTGGATTAGCAAGAATCCCCTCAATAGAGAGTAGCTGGACAGATGAATATAGCAAGCCAAGGTTCTCCCAAACAGTAGCCAAAAGAATGCAAGAAAATATTTCTTGGGAGACTAACATAGCTAACTGGCCACTCACCAGCATGAAACATCTCAGAGGTCATGGGACATTGCTTTTGAAAGTAATGGTACTGAGACATTATTGCTTGTACAGATGGTATCTTGTCTAATTAGCAATGTGTGTGTCATTGATATCAATAACAAACGTGATGTTTCCCAGCTGGAATATGGAAACACGTTTACTCATTCATATGGAAATAAACAAGATTCACCAAGAAGTTACCAAGTATAGAACATGTTGTGATACCCCATAGACATATCTGTCACATTTCCATATTGCCTTAAAACTGGGCTAGTCAGTTCTTCTTTTTTTGCGATTATTGTTAAAAAGATAATCATCATAACCTTTAAGCATATTGTAATTCAAGTGATGCTTCACAATGACTGGGACTCAGATGGACAGTGTCTCTCTCTACTAGATTTTTTGTGGCTTGACACCTCAGGTTGTGACAACATGCCATTCTCAGCATAGGCTGGACAGTGATCCAAAGATTTGAATTTCAATGTTTAGGTTGAATTCCAGTGCCAAACAAATGTCAGAGTTTTCTTTTTATTCCACTTAGCAAATGAAGTCAGCAATTAAAAAGTGGATGTTTTTCATTATGATCGGAAGATTCACTGCTGAGACACTCCCTGTCAAACTGTCATAACTTGATGGACTACTTATCAACTGAAAAGCAACAAGTTTATTCTTGTCATTAGGAGAAAACGTTCTTGGCATTATACAGTCAGTGACAACTTGTATGTGTATACAAGTATACCAACCTCCTCAACATACACTCCTTGTCCACAAGACCACTCTCAATGAAAAATAAGATTGTAGATGACCATCGTATTCTCATTTTATACTGTTACAAAATGTTAGTATAAAAAGTATAGACAGCAGGAAGAGAGCTGCAGTTTTGGAATAAATATCCACTGCTACGCTGAAGATACTCAAGCTGTATCTGCCTCTAAAGGCAGATGATCACTCTCAAATTACAAATTTAGAGGCCTGTTTGTCAGCAGTGTGGACGCAACTGAATTCTGATGAAACTGAGATGCTTCATTGGCCCTGCTTGACATAAATACTAGCTTGATTAAGTAAGTAACTCTCAACAACTGTGTGATTTCTCAAAGTCTAACAGTCAAGAATGTTGGTGTTTGTTTGATCCAACCCTGTCCACTAGGTAATTGATTGTGGATACTCAATGTCTGTATATATTTGTGATTTCTTGCCGATCCATTCTGTGGCCTGTCCTCTTGACCCACATTCTTCACATATATCTTCACATATATTTAATATCTACATGTATCAGAAATTGTGTCATCAAAATGTAGATATAATGTGATTTTGTTGGTTTGTTCTGTAGTAAGAAAGGGTGATTGTGGTTGATTTAGCACTGGTTGTTATTCTTGTTCAGCCTATGATGATAATCATGCAGGAAACTGTAAAAAGAAAACCTGTACTTCTTCATTTGTTCCATACCTGAAAACTGTCAAGAGGCGAGGTTGTCAGACAGATACTGACAATGTCAACTGGAGTTCTCTATTAGGTAAATCTATTTCTGATTTTAGAATGACAGGATAGGCAGATAGAATTAAACAATTAATCTCAACTGAACAGTTTGTAGTTGAGATTTCTGTAAAGATGTAATAATGTCCTTGAACAGGAACAGCAACTGAGGCCAGGTTAACATACATCAGATGTAAATACAGTAGATTTAAATAGTGGCATCTGTATGGCATCAGGGAGAATTGAGTAGGAAGAGTGGTGCATGTGGATTCACCTGGCATGACAAGTGGTGACTTGTAGGTTTTAATTATCTTTAAGGGATTAGCATGTCCTCACATTCATGAGCAATACAAAAAGGATTGCATTCATGCAGATTTTATAAGTTCAGCTTGAGAAGGGGTTACAGGATTTTAGAAGGAAATCAATTACATTTCTTCTCAGCCACATTCACTTCTAATTAACATTTTCATCATTTTCTTGTGTCATGGGACCAAATGGACTACAAATGTGGACACTACAATTCTTCCAAGGGTTTTTTGAGGACTGCTCTGGGTTGCTTGAAAGTTCAACACTTCAATACTTGACCGAATCTTCCATTGAATTACCCTGAATATGGACAATACTCAAAGGATTGACTTTGTTGTTACTGACAGGCTGAATACAGACAAGACGAGGACTCTGCAACCGCTCCTGTAGGAATCAAAGTCATGGCAACTAAGCTGAACTGGAAAGATATTACAAAATACTGAGCTAAAAGGTTGAAGGAGACCAAAACAGCTACAACCAGTACTGCAGTGAAGACCACCTAAGATTTTAATTACAAAATAGTGATTATACACATTAACTGTCACAGATGAAGCAATGAGAGCCATATGTTTTAGCAGCACAATACAGAACTGTACAAAGTTGTGGAGGTCCTCATCGGGTTGTCATCTTTGATCAATGTAGAGATCACACACATTTAGGATATTATTTAAAAACTCTCTTTAGTTTCAGTGGAAGCAACTGACAAGAAAAAGATTCAACAACACATGGCATACCAGACACTCCTTTTACACAGCGTGTATTTCCAATCACTCTTAAACAAGAGAACAGGATTCATTGTGCAAGAAATACAACTCTACATCACAGGTAAGCTGAAATTCTTTAGTGCTGTACATGGATTGTTTTTAGTTCTTCAGAGGTGAGGTTTTTCCCTTATAGTTTAGTCAGACACATACATTAAGGAATTGATCACTTATTGAAATTGATGATTATACAGTAAGATTTGGCGAAAAAGAGAAGAGAAGCACCAATAATCTGAGCAGCAAAGAGGATTCTGTTGCTAGAGATCATACCCTCTATTGAGTAATGGTACAGAGTTATAGATAGCTGTGAACATATGTGAACATGTATGTAACAATAGCTTAGCCAGAATTCACTTAGGTGTAAATGGTTATGCTGTGAATCAACAATATCAATGATTCTGAATGAGCCTCAGTTCCCTTCTTAAACTAACACAGAGCTTAGTTTAATATTGTGACAAACCTGATCTTAAACTTTTTTGTTTTAAATCAAATTCAGTGTAAAACAATTAAAACATGGGAACAAAATTCGGGTGAGGCTTGACTTAGTATCTCGCGTTGTAATGTGAGAGTGTACAATGAACCATTTATGTCATATCCGGTTAGCATTGCAGTAGCCAAGTCAAAAATAGATTGTACAGCCTGAAAAGCCTGTGATCCATAAGGAAATCAAAATTTGCTTAAAACCACTGCAATGGTAAGATTTTCGGTGTTATCTAATTGTTTAAAATGCCTATGTATGTCTAAACTGTAACTATACTGATATAATAGTGAAGATGAATAGTAATTCAACATGTTATTTTGTCTAACTAACAAAACTAGCTAATCTGTTAGCATGTGTTTATTGTTGAGCGACAATAATAATCTATGCTTTCATGACAACACTTTAATAAACAAACTGGCATTTCTAGTCCGGCAACAGTTAATGAGGGCAGTTTGTCTATTTTGTACGGTAAACTGGATTAGATATTGTTCATGCGACATGTTGTCATGTCAAACGGAGATTTGGATGCCAACATGGCGGAGGAAACCTATGATGAGGTCACTGAGCAATGAAAGCTCAAAACATGAACTCCCCTTGACACAATTTGTGATGTATAATACAGTATATACGCAAATGTGTGATTATTTGTGATTGTGTATTATATTTAAGTTGAGGTGTTTTTATGGGACCCATTATTGAGTCTGCCAGACTTTTAGAAGATAAATGTTAATGTCAAACAACAAACATCTCTAACATATCACTGTCCTGCTGTCTCACACTCAGGTTAGACCCATTCAACAAGTAGAGTCATCTACACCAGTGAGTATAATTATTCCTCCATTTTAGTACTTAAGCATTTCTGCTGTATAGTCACACTACATTGTTTCAGTTTCACACACAAACACACACACACACACACACACACACACACACACACACACACAATAAACATCTTTGACATTGTTGGCTTAATTGAAATATCGGTTATTGGATATTAAAATGTGTGTTGTACTCCTGATCTGTTGATTATCATTCCCATAGGTCCAGTGTGAGACCAATCCCACTGGTTTAAATGGAGTTGTGGTGTATGATAATAAAGATTATCCCATAACGTCTGTAAGTACATACAAAAATGAACATTTACTATACCTTCAGTAAATGTTTAATGTTATGTATTTTACAATTGCCTTGCAATGATCCCTACCCTTATTAAAAAAAATAAAATAAAATGATCGTTAATTCTCAAGAAAAAAGGGAAAGATTAGAGAAACATTTGAAATGTTGTTTTCATCTGCTCTTCTATAATGTTAAACTTCTAATACTGTTAATCTTCTAATGACCTTCTGATTTATCTTGCTGCACCCTGTTGTGCTCCGGACCTCCAGGATAGGAGCCACCAGCCTAGAGGTCAGACTTCCTCTTGGGACAATTTAACTGCTGCTGGTGGAGGATTGGACCAGCAGCAGAGCTCAGGTAAATGAGCACAAACCATCTATACAGAATCATAATCATCTATAAAATCTTCATATGATTTTAATTTACTAAAATCAGAATTCAACTGTTTTCAGAAGAAATACAACACCAGGAGGAAAGCCTATGGTTTCAGCCCCACGGACCCTTGATATCTGATCAGAGATATGATGTACAACTAAGTCATCGTTCAGTTTTCCTGACTGACCCCTGGTAATTGCAGTATAAGAATTCATAGTTTACAGTTTACATTCCACACTATTCAAAGGTCTCCATTAGAAACTGCACTTTAGTATTAAGAACCAAGTGGTCTATTTTATCCCATTTACAGATACAGATACAACTGTCTCTCTTTTTGTATGCAGGTGGTGTCAGAATGGTCCATTGGTGGAAATTATACTTGTCCTCCTCCTCCTCCTTCCCCCTACACTTATAATGGTCTATTTTTTTGCAATCGATAATAAATGTTATTTTTTCAAATAAACGCATTTTAACATTTCTTCACTGTAAGACTGGGCTGGCTTTTTCCTGGAACAATTTTAAGTTTTTTTTTAAGGTTGAGATCCTGTTTAGACGGCAGGGATTGTTTTGTCACTATTGTGAATATAATTCAAAGTGCATGCCCTTGACCTGTTAGGCCCCACAAGGATTACTTGATGCCCCCTTCTGTTAAACTTGAACATGCACCCACTTGTTCACATTTTTCACAGCAACAACCTTGCTTATCACAATTTTTTGACATTTAAATGGTATATAGCCAGACACTATTTCAGATGCTGGTAATATACTTGGAGTTTTAGATATACACGCAGACAACCCAGTGAAAAATATGACTTCATAGCCAAGATTGGAATTTAAATTTAAAATGGTTTAAATTTGGTAAATAAAGTCATAATGTGTTTAAAAGTTCAAAAGATCTACTACTGTACATATACTATGCACGTTGCAAATATTCTTTATGCTTAATATAGACATATTGTACATATTATATATTATTGTCTTTACCGAGGCAAATTCCTTGCAAAAACATACTTGGCAATCAAACTCATTCTGAATCTCAAGTTCATCATCTGTGACCAAAGAACAATCCAAATATTTAAATGACATTCCTAAAGGCTGAAATGCAACACTTATCATCTGATCATTTTAACATACAGGTAATAATGTTTACGTATACACATTACAAAGTGCTTTACCCAGGGCCACAACTTCATAACAAGTCGATTTTGCAACAGTAGTTATCTATGGCTTTAAGATATTCTTAAAAGTTCAAAACAATATCACAATGTCACAACACTATGGTGGCCTGTCAGGGTCTGATTTGACCAACCATAGTTTTGTGATTAATTGAAAATGTTGTTACACTTCTCTCTAACATCGTGTTTTGCACCGTTGCTTTAGCAAAGCCTCAGTGTTTATTTTACAGTAGTGAACATCAGCTTGTGCCAGTGTCATTCTTTACCACTTTGTTTTCAATTGTTTTGATAGACTATGTTATTAATAATGAACCTTCTCCACACACGGCTCACCTGTTAAAACAGAATCACGGGTGACAGGAATTCTTAATGATGAAGAAAGTCCACAGTCACACACAGAGATCTAGAAATACAGAGCGGCAATCTAGGCTTAATTGATACTGACTGAAAAGACACAAGATTACCTTGACCTTGATACAGTAGCCGTTACAAAGTTATACACATTTACTGTCACAGATTAACAATGATACTTAGTAATATTCTGTCAGGTTTGCATCTTTAGTTTCTGTGGAAGCAATTAATTGAGAAGATTCAACAATCATCAATCAACAATGATCGGATGTCCTTTTTACACAACCATGTATTTCCAGTTATTTTGAAACAAGAGAACAGGATTAATTCTGCAAGAGAAACAACCCATCATCCCAGGTAAGCTGAAATAATTTAGTGATGTACAGTAGATTTGTTTTATTTCTTCTGAGGTGCCATTCTTCCCTTACATTTCAGTCAGAAATACACATTATGGAATTGACCATTTTCTTCCAAAAGATGAGACTTGGTAGAAAAATTCTGTTGGTAATTCCTTCAGGTTACTCATAGTGGAAATACATTAACATTAGAAATGACAGTCTATGGGGCACCCTGACAGCTCAGCTAGCCAGAGCCCCATGTACCAAGGCTGCCCTATCTAATAAAGGGGGGAAAAGACATCTTTTTTTTTTTTTAAAGAAAAAAGCAATTGATTTGAAAGGTGGAGATATCTAAGATAATAAAATGTGTTTAAGTAGATTGTAACTTTCAGCCATAACTGTAACATTTAAAGACCCTACCTACTTACACAGAGGTTTTCTATGTTATTGTAGTATCAGTGATTAAATTAGATTCCCTGCCAGAACGCAAGAATTTTGTGATTTAGCTTGGCATCAGTGCAGTAGTGATGTTGCGCTAGAGATCTTTGTATCCGGTGTTGTATGTAAGTCCCGCCCAATAATTTCCAACGACTTGAAGTTTACTGATTTGCGGAAGGCCTATAAACACTAAAATGGTAATGTTATTGGTATCTAATTGTTTAAAACATCTACGTTTGTCTGTACTGATGCATGCGCAATAATAAACCGACATCTGACACAATAGTGAAGAGGAATAGTTATATAGCGTGCCGTTTCGTCAAAAATAAAAACAGCTAACCTGTTAGCATGTGTAGGGCTATATTGATGTTGGTTGACGATAGCAATAATAATCTATTCTTTTTATGACAACTTGAATGAACAAACTTTCTTTTCTAGTCTGGCAACGGTTAATTAGGGAAGTCTGTGTGTTTTGCATTGTTAATGGGATAGAGATTTGCAATGTTCTCCTGTCGTGTCAAATGGAGAGTTGATGCTTGCGTGGAAGCGGAAGTGGAAGCTACGTTAAGGTCCTTGAGCAATATAACATAAAAGTTAAAACATCATGATTTGTGATATTGACCAATATAAATAGAACTGACTTTATTTAACTTTCATGTAAACAGTCAGCATAGAAGAGTTGGTTTTGTACTATTACTGTTACTATTATTATACTACTTGTACTATGCAGTGGCTTTCTGATTTACCCACACTGTGTGATGTATCATAGTTGAGTTGTACAAATGGGCCGATCATGTTTGTTTGTTTGTTTCTTTTCTGGTTTCAGTCCTGAAGTGAAATCAAAGTTATTGTTAAGAATATTCTTAAGAAAAGGGGAAAGATTAGAGAAACATCTGAAATGTTGTTTTCATCAGATTTCCTATACTGTTTATCGTCTAATGACCCCTTTGATTTATCTTGCTGCCCAATGTTGTGCTCCTGACTTCCAGAATGGGAAGCACCAGCCTAGAGGTCAGGCCTCATCCTGGAAAAACTCACCTGCTGCTGGTGGAGGATTGGACCAGCAGCGGAGCTCAGGTAAATAAGCACAAACCATCTATACAGAATCATAGTCATCTATAAAATCTCCATGTGAGTTTAATTTACTAAAATCTGAATTCAACTGTTTTCAGAAGAGATACAACACCAGGAGGAAAACCAGCCCCTTGGACACGCCAGCAGGTAGTTGAAGTTGCATCATACTTTACAGTGTAGACACTGTGCTCCACAGTACTCACAGGTCTCACCAAAAATGAACAAACTATTAGAGACTGCATTTCAGTACAAGTGGTTATTTCATGACATGAAAAGTAGATAACAGTGGTTTTGCAGACGATGCATGTCTAGTCGTGTGTTATTTTGCAACTCTGTGTCCAGTACTTACTGTACGATATTTACTATTTCTGTCAGACAACTCACGTTTGATATGTTTATTAAAGCAGTATAGCATATTTAGATTTTGGCATCTAGGCTCCGACCTCATCATTCCCTGCAGATATGTTTACATAGAGATATTGGGGAGTGATGAGCAAATACCTTAACCCCTAGCCGGAGCCTACAGGTGGATGCTGGGG